AGGGGTTTTGGGTCGGATTGAGGATAAACGGGTAGGGGACTTACCTGGTGTTTTTGTCCGCGCCTAGCGTTGAAGAGGGCATCTATGATTTTGTTGCTGCCCTTGGTGTTTTTGTCCGCCCCTGGCGCCCAACTGGGCACTGAACTATTTTTTTTTAACTAAATGACAACTAGACGAAAACAAGAAAATTGGGTTGCCTCCTAACAAGCGTTTGATTTAACGTCGCGGCACGACACAATCAATCGAACTCAGTGTTCACTCAACAGTTGAGGCTCTTTCAATTGAATTACCGATACAACCTTTTCCTCATCCATGCCAAAGTAATGCTTCAACCTTTTCCCATTGACTCTAAACATGTTCGTTCCATCCTCAGATTCAATTTCTATAGCTCCATTTGAGGATACTTGCACAACTCTAAATGGTCCCGACTATCTAGACTTCATCTTGCTTGGAAATAATTTCAATCTTAAGTTGTACAACAACACGATATCTCCGGGTTTGAAAATTCTTTCTTGAATATGTTTATCGTGCATCATCTTTATCCTTTATTTGTATAGCCTAGTGCTTTCAAAATCATGGTAACAGAACTCATCATGTTCATGCAGCTCTGTGACTCTACTCGTACCAGCGGCCTCCAAGTCAAGATTTAATTGCCTTAACGCCCAAAAATCTCTATGCTCTAACTCCACCAGTAAGTGACACGCTTTTTCAAATACCAATTTGTACGGTGACATACCAATCAGAGTTTTGAATGAAGTACGGTAGGCCCATAGTGCATTATCCAATTTTTTCGCTCAATCAGTCAGAGTAGCATTTACAGTTTTGGTCAAAACACTCTTGATTTCTCTGTTTGACACCTCCACTTGCCCACTTGTTTGTGGGTGATACGGAGAGGCCACCTTATGGCGAACGCCATATTTCTCCAATAACTTTGCAAAGGATCGGTTGCAGAAGTGGGTGCCTCTATCACTAATGATCGCTCTTGGAGTGCTAAATCGGGTGAAGATATTTTTTCTTAGAAAACCAATAACTCCCTTTGCATCACTTATTGGGAGTTCCACGACTTCTACCAATTTTGAAACATAGCACACAGCTACCAGTATGTACTTGTTGCCATATGAGCTGATAAATGGTCCCATAAAATCGATTCCCCATACATCAAATACTTATACCTCTTGAATTGGTTTCATGGGCATCTCATGTCGACAAAAAATATTCCCCATTCGTTGGTACTCAACACAGCTCTTTACCCAAAAGTGTGCATCTTTAAACAACATCGGCCAATCAAAGCCCGACTCCAACACTTTAGCAGTTGTCCCGACTTCTCCAAAATGGCCTCCATAAGGCGAAGCATGACATGCCTGCAAAACAAAAGCTTGGTCTATCTCGGGAATACATCTACAGATCATGTTATCAGTACAAATCCTAAACAAATATGGTTTATCCTAGAAATACATGCGACAATCATGAAAGAACTTTTTCTTCTGCATATAGGACAAATCATAAGGAACAATACCGCTCGCCAGGTAGTTTGCAATATCTGCATACCATGGCGCTACCTCAAGGCTAGTGGCCGACAATTATTCATCCTGGAAAGTTTCCATGATCTTTTCTACCTCAACCTACTTCTCCACTCCTTCCAACCCGGACAAGTGATCCGCCACTTAGTTCTTCGTTCCCTTTCGGTCACAGATTTCCATGTCAAATTCTTGTAGTAGCAGCACCCATCGAATCAGGCGTGGCTTTGAATCCTTCTTTTCAATTAGGTACATGAGAGTAGCATGGTCAGTATAAATAATTATGTTCGATCCTATCAGGTATGACCTGAATTTGTCAAATGCGAACATCATTGCTAGCATCTCCTTCTCAGTCACTGTGCAGTTTAGTTGGGCACCACTCAGGGTTCTACCTGCATAGTAGATTGGGTGCATGACTTTCTCATTTCACTGCCCCAGCACTGCTCCCACAACATAATCGATTGCATCACATATTAACTCAAATGGTTGCTCCCAATCGGGTGCAACTATGATAGGTACATACACCGGTCTCTTCTTCAATTCCTCGAAAGCTACCCTGCAGTCATCAGAAAATACAAAGGGGTGATCCATTTCAAGCAATTTACACAAAGGGTTAGCAATCTTGGAAAAATCTTTTATAAACCGCATGTAGAAACCGGCATGGCCAAAGAAACTTCTTATTGCCTTGACGGAAGTGGGTGGTGGCAGCTTCTCTATTACATCAACCTTAGCACGACCCACCTCAATGCCCTTATTTGATACTAGGTGTCCCAAGACTATACCTTCTTGTACCATGAAATGGCACTTTTCCCAGTTTAGCACCAGATTAGTCTCCATACATCTCTTCAAATACAAATTTATATTAAACGTAGTGAACAAATTATCCTCCAATAGGTCCATCAAACCCTAGATGGAAAGCTTTAGCTACTCATAACCATATTAACAATCATGATAATAATTAAAAGTATTAAAATACAGATTAAGGAAGAATGGAAGAGAAAAACTCTTGCGATTCGTTGCTTCTAAGTGTTCCCGTAGCCTTTTTCCTCTCCGATAATGTCTAGCCCCTAAGAAATAGGTTTAGAACCCTTTTTATACATGTTTGGGGCGTGTAGGGTTGAAACTACTAAGTCCTAGCCGAATTAGGACGAAATGCGTCCTTAGCCGTATCGCTTGGCGGCTGGCACCAACCTGGACACCGAAATTTTTTCACTTCTGTGCTATTCTGCCATTGGCATTTTGGTTGGTGCCTGGCACAGACCTATGCACCAAAATCATACTCCCTCCAAATTTTTCTGTTTTTACTTCACTTTGCATGCAAGCTTGCCAAATCACTTCAAATTGACTCCTATACATATAAAGACCATTATTAAGCTCGAGTTACAAATATTTACACTAAAAATAATAAGATTAAGGTATAATACAAGGCAAATTACATGCAAAAACATAAATATTTAGCGTAACATCAGTGTGCCTTTGTACGGGAGAAATTGTATAAATCAGGGTGGATTGAGCTATGAATATTGGAAAACTGCTTTACATGAGTGATGAGTCGATATCCAAAATTGTCTACTCGAAATTAGGTTACCCCTACGCATCTGCTAGATATGGTGGATGATGATTCATTTGTTTTTTCATCTTTTTATCTTTTTCTTTTGATTGTATCAATTGACTAAAAAAAGATGGCACACGTGGAGTCCATTGGAACCTCCTTCCAAGGAAAGAGCAAATCTAGTTTGCTCGAATACGTTCTTATTATATTATTGATTTAAATATGCGGTCCTGTGACTTATAATAGTACGTAAAGTGTATTGCATCTATACTTTAAATTAAAATAGTGGATACCTTAACCAATGAATCAACCCAAAGAAAGAAACGATTCTTTATTTACCTCTTTTAATTGTGCCATTACTTATTGTCCAACTAATATTACATATTAGTAATGGAGATGACGGCTAAAATGGATAGATCTTTTTTATCCGAGTTGTCTAATTGGATTATTTGGAGAAACGTCTTTTTATTTAGAATTAGAACAACATAATCAAAAGGAGCATATCAAATAAAATCTACTTTGGGGTAAACCGTAAATTCACTCGCTTAAAGTTAAACACTAATTGTTCTCTAGATCATGAGTTTTACTTATTTAAAGCTTTTACTTCCTCTCAAAAATGGAACTTTTTCTCTATCCAAAGCTAGCTTTCTTCTCAACCAAGGGAACAACTTTGGACCCGTTTGTCCAAAAAAATATTTTTTTTTCTTCAAAAATGTGTTTGTCTATGAAATGTTGCAAAATTTTGGAAATTTTTCGAAAATGAGTTTTTCAAAAATCAAAAGGTGATTTTGGCCACTTTTTCAAAATTTTCAAATTTTTTTTTTCCCCACTCACAAAATTGTAATATTTTTTCAAGTAAAATATATGTCCAAACATAATTTTAAATTCTAAATACCATTTTTAACTTAATTCCAATTTCTACATTTTTTCAAAAAAATTCAATTTTTATGTCCAAACGTCTACTTAGTATCTTAGGAACATGGTAGTCTAGATTATAACTTTCACAACGTCTGATACTATTCGTCGGACTATCTTAAATTTACTTTACTTTCAATGTTTAATAATGTTAAGATTTTACTGATCAACAACAAAAAGTAAAAGGGTAAAATCAGTAGTTTTGGAGTAAGTACTTTATGTAACATACAACATATACACACTCGGAGGCTAATCTCAATCTGCCTTTGAATGTTGGACGAGGATTTTATGTTTTTGCGACAAGTGGGATCAGCTTATTTGCCAACTTAAATAATGAAGATATATCGTTGTCCACTATATGATAGTGGGATATATCAATTCCATATTTAATCTCATTTAGACGTGTTCTTGCTTTCATGTAACTAAAGGCTTACTTCCATGCATAGAACACTGAGATTAATGTTACTCACTAAGAAATAGTTCTTGTCCTTTTCTATCTAACAGTTAGGAGTAACCATGGCGTAACGATAATAGTTTTACCATATGATTAGGATGCAACGGGTTCAAATAATAAAAACAATGTCCAGCGAAAATGTAAGCAAGGCCGGAGCTAGTAGCTCGGCTATGGTTCAGCGAACGCAACAATTTTTGTTCAAACGAGGTATTTGTGTTAAAAAATTCATTAAATATGTATAAATATTAAATTTAGACTCAGTTAATAACACCTGAATGTAAGTAATGTTGAAATTCTAGCTCCGCCTCGGGAATGTAAGTAAAGATGTGTAATAGACCAAATGTAATATGATCCTTTCCCGACCTTGTGCTTAGTGGAAACTCAGTGCACCATGCTTGCTTTTTTTTTTTTTTTTTTTTTTTTTTTTTTTTTTTTTTGTGTGTGTTAATAGTTGCTGTCATGTCATTTCTACCTTGAATATTTCCCGTCCTTTAACTCCTAATCATTCAAAAAGATTGTTCAGTAATGGAATTCACTTTTGATCCTGAGTATTGATGGTGGAAACACATGCATAATGCACAAGATCATTGAAAACCAGTATAATTATTTCCTCCTGTGAGCACATATCAGTATAAACTATTTAACCCTTACTCTAGAGTAGCACTGAATACCAGACCTGATTCTGAAATTAAAAAATCCATGGGTACATTTCTTGGACATCTAGTACCTGGTTTGGCCTTAGCCCTTCTTGGTTTTTGGCATGCTATTAACACAATTAGAGCCAACTATCAAAATGGAACTACAAAATTCAGATCCAAGTTTTGGTACCCTTTTAACAGTCCTCTTCCCAGACTACAATACCTTGATCTCATTCTTGTTTTGTCCTTCTCTATCTTTTGCATAATTATCCAATTCTTGGAATTCCCTTCTCTGCACTTTTCATTCAAGCTTCATAATATTGAACATGCAACCATGTTCCTAAACTTGACCGTTTTCACGGTTTTTGCTCTTTTTGCTGAGTTAAGTAACTTATCTGAGATCCTGCATGGGATTTTAAGCATACTTGCTACATCTATTTTTGGTCAGGAGCTTTTCTTACTTCATTATCATTCAACTGATCATGTAGGATTAGAAGGTCATTACCACTGGCTTTTGCAAATCGTCGTGTTTATTTCCCTTATGTCAGCTCTTGTTGTTACTTGCTTCCCTTGTTGTTTTCCTGCAGCACTTGTTCTTTCAATTTCGGTTATTTTCCAAGGTTGTTGGTTCATGAACATGGGATTTAACCTGTGGTATCCACAGTTTGTTCCACTTGGATGTGTTATGCAATCAAGTGAAGGTCATGAAAACTTAGTGCATGGCGCGGTCATGTGTCAAACAGATGAAGCTGATTTACGGGCTAGAGCTATGGCGAACTTGCAATTTAGTTGGGTACTTGCAGCTATCTTGATCATTGTGGCTTGTATTTCTCTTGTTTTCGCGAGAAATCGAGCAAATAGGACTCTGTTGTCCAAGTATGAGCAGCTTCAGAGTAGAGACAGAGACATCCCTGTAACAATTAATTGCTTGAAGTAAACTCATAAATAAGAAATGTACATAGGCATCCGAAATGCCAAGTTAAATAAATGGATGTGTCGGGGGACAAATTCTGGGCTATCTTCTTGCCTAGAAATGCTCATCCCCATTGCTTGTGGTACTACTCTACTATTTAAGTGTATTGCAGTCACTAGACTGCCTAACCATAGTTGTCAGTTGAACTAAATTGTATCTCTTTTCTATTAGGTGTGCATCTTCTTTTGTGGGACTTTATATAATTTGGTATATCTTCTCACTGACAGAAGAACAAAACAAGTTCAATATCAAGTTGTTTAATTGTCCACTGGAAAATGATGCCAAGAAAGTCATAACGCATTAAAAGTGAGGTAAGGATGCAGTGGAAGCCCCTTTAAGTCATAATCCTTTTTTAACTGATACGTTCAAGTTTCACTCAGTTTGACGGTGTACCAAATACTGAAACTTAAAACAGAAAATGGCAGCCCCGATGCACAAAGCATGATGCGTTCACGGTGGGTCTGGTAAAGGGCCGCATCCCATAGGGTGTAATGTAGGTAGTCTGCCCTGATACAAGTATCGGTGGTTGATTCCACATCTCGAACCCGTGACCTATAGGTAACACGGACATAACCTAACCTTTGCTCCAAGGCTCCCCTTCAAACTTAAAACAGAAACAAAACGGAAAAGAAAACAAAAAACTCATAAATTGACTAAGTTGAACTCAGTCAGGAAATGCTTAGACAGGGCGAGCACGGAGCAGAAACAAAAGAATCTTGAACTTCAAGTTAGTATATGTTATGTTACGCGGCGCCTTCCTGAAGTTCCTTGGAAGGGCGACGTAAGGCTAGGCAACCGAT